ATGCAAAAAGTGACCTGTATTCCAAAGAAATTAAAATGTCAACAACAAAGGCTTAAGAATCTTTATCTATCTTCAAATTGCTCAAGATTCTGTTAGGAAATGCAGCACCTCACGTTTGTACCACCTGACTTGGCAGACTGGGGTGCCTCAACTGTCAGCCACCTTGTGCCTTTATCTCCTCCCAGGCACCAGCCTTCCCGGAGAAAACACTAGGTGTGCCCCGAGGCCTTCTTTGAACCCCAGGGGAGAACTGTTGACTCCACTCCTCCCACACCTGAGGGCGAATGAAGCTCAGACATCCAGGGTACAGGGCTTTGAAGCTGCCATCGCTGGGACTCCACAGACAGGTAAAAAGAAATGAAGACACTCCAAGGTGAGAAGGCACAGCCTCCCCAGAGTCAGCGTGAGAATACAAGGGGGGGGGGGGGGGGTCGCCTGAAATCCGAGTGAGGCAGACAGCCAGACACACTCAAAGTCAAACCAGAGTGCTTGCACATTATTCTTTGTTCATTTTGTTCCAAGGGGCCCCAACTTTTTCCAGCATGCATTACCACCTTAATGTTCCAAAACTTCTAAGGCTCCTTTCACACACCTAGACACCCAGATTTGATAGGGAGCTAGTTAAAGAACTAGCTTGCCTCTACAGAAACCCAAAAGTGACCTGAAATACTCCAGAACCCAACTTCCTTTCCTAACAGGAAGTCCTGAGTTGAGTGGCCTGAGGATGACCAAAGAATCTCCCCTTCTCATTTTCCATCCCAGTCCTGTGTGTCACCTTGGTTCTTTACCTTTTGTTTGTTGCTATTCTCCATCCCATGGGAAACTACCCTAATGGATTTCATTTACCAGCTTGAAGTGTTCTTCCAACCAGGAAGTGTTCTCTGTGCACACGTTAAATGCGGTCTTATACCTCACTGTTTGCAGCATGGTGCCACAGCCACACGCCGTAAGCTCCACTGTGTCCAGTAGCTCTGTATCTCTTTATCTCAGGGCTTCAGCATAGAGCCTCCAACCCCCGTCTGACCTTCCACCTCCCCCACTGAGGGGCACTGGCACTCGTCCTGCCTACCCCAAGACAATGGTGCAGAGTGTCTAAGTGTGCATCCCCCTGTGGGCCTGGAGAAGACTAATACCACCTGGGAGTGGGTCACTGGGTCCAGGGTCACAACGCCCCAATCTGATGACAGCTGGCAGCAGTGCTGAAGAACTCCGCAGCACTACAGGTAACAACACGTGGTAGCTTTCCCATCTCCATCAACCCAAGTGTGTCATTATGCTTGTGGGCATGTGATTTCTCTGCTACAAAAACTAAGGAGTTTGAGCATCTCCTCCTGGGTTGCTGAGCTCTCCGGCTCCTCTTACACACTTGCTTGTCCACATCTCTGCTGTTTTAATTCCAAGCACTTTTGGCTCTTCATGAATTTGCAGGAACTCCTTGCAGTTTGGGTACAAACCACGTTGGTCTGGACACTGCAAACATCTACTCTTCCTGTCTATATTAACTCTGGCCATGGGACACTTGATTGAACGGAGGAGGCATATTTATAAGACCAACCAGCTCACCTGAGGAAACTATTTCCAGCAGCTGGCAGCAGAAAAGCAATGGCAGCACTCTCGTCAAACCGCTGTGGGTAGTCCCACTGTGTTCCTTGAGCCACTGCCCCATGGCAGGACACAGCGAGGGGGGCATTCTACCAACAATGGCAAGAAGGGGCATCAATCCACAGGTCTGCACAGAGCTCTGCCCCTGTGCAGGACTGGAAGTAGCCATGACGCCTGCCCCACCCTCTCCAGCAGGTCATATCCTGGGAAAAAGCTACTTTTGCATCAAGAGACTGTCAGCAGCCTAGCTTCCCCTGAGTTCTCTTGGACATGAAAATCAGGTTGGGACCCCCCCTGTGCCCATGTCATGTGGCAGAACCAGTTCCACTGCACTGCTCCCCATGCTGGCACCCCCCACTTCCACCTTTCTGGTAACTAACATGGACCTGGGTCACCTCCAACCTCCCGATGCTGCAAATGATTCAGTATCCATCCTGTGCATGTTCCTTCATAGAACCATACTGGCATCTTTTTGGCACACCAACCCAAGGCTGGAATTGCCAAGTCATATGGAAGCAAACACAGTGGAGTCAACCTGGAAGTCACTTCTGAGCCCTGACAGATATTATCTGTGGGCCTGGGCCACACTGGTGGTCTGACCTTTTGATGTGTAGCAGGAGTTTGGGGTCCTGTAACTCCATCTCCTGTGGGGCTGCAGGAGAGACCAGCCAGGTTGAGTGTCAGCATGTAGATGCAATGGACCCGATGAAGGCTACAAACACCAAGTCAAGTAGCCTACCCACCTCCCACAAGCCATGCTTCATCCGACTGGTCACACACAGATGCTGGAAGTGACTGTCCTGACTCCACAAGACAACGCAACTGGCACTTTCCCTGATGTCTTTCCCCTTGGCTTGATGTTAACCTGTCTCCTCTTCCAGTGATAAACCTTCACCGTGAGCACGAGGGCCTTCAGTGAGCTCTAGGAGCTTTGCTAGCAAATTACCCAGCCTGAAGAGGCACTAGTTCCCTCTAAGTTCTTGGCTGGCCTGATTCTCTTGGTTTAGTCATTCAGTTTAACCCTCTCAGGCTGCTCTCCCAAAGGGCAGCAGCACCTCCCCACTCAAGCTTGAGGTCATCCTAACAGCTGGGGCAGTACCCCACTGGCCTTTTCACATGCAAGTCTCTCTGTACCAGAGTGCAAGTATCCCCTTATTTTGTCGTCATCAATCTGATGAAATAATTCAACTACAAGTGTGAAAACAACCCTCAGCATTTCCCTCTGCTCCCCTTGGACAAAGGATCCTGACCTGAAAACAGGCCACAGGTCCTAACTATCCATGACTTACCTATTAAAGCTCTAAGAATTAAAAGGAAAGGGATCTAGGTATTGAATGAATCAATGAATTTCTTTGAAATGTGCTCCCTACCGTTTGGCAGACAAAACTTTTCTTGTCCACCTAGCCTGGGTTTCCCTTCACTCATGCCTCTGCACTGACCTCAGATATGCAAAGCCAGATATGGTCCTGAACCAGTCAAATGAACCTGGGTTGAGGAAAAGCCGTATGTTCACTGGGACCCTACTCAACCAGGTCCTCGAGGGCAGGAGCATGCAAAGATCCTCCTCCACTGTGAGGTTTCCAGAAATACCATTTCAGCAAACAAAGATGAGGGGACCAGCCATGGAGACGTCTGGAAAAGGAATATTATTCCACGGAGAACGCAGGACCCACAGCAGAGAGGCCACTGTGACCAGGGAGCAGGGAGCAGGGGGTGAGGGCTGACTTCAGGGAGGAAATGGCAGGGGTTGGCTGTACAGTCCAGCAAACAACGCAGAGCTTTGGACATTCAGAGGGACTGCTACGCACAAAGTCAAAATCTCACCAGAATCAACGGCCATCTATGCTGCAGGGTTATTTGGCCAAGGTTCTAGGGCTTGCCAAGAGGATGAACATGTCTCTCCTATTCAAAAACCAGGCAGCTTTGTCCACCCTCTGCTTGTCATTCTTATGTAGACATTGTGTGAAAGAAATGGAGAGGTGGTCAGTGGGCTGAGAATTCTACCCACACACCGTTACAGAGAAACTAGATCCATGCTGGTGTCGGACCTCCTCTCTCCCCAGCACTGGCAGCCCAGAGGCTACCACTTTTCTGGACTGCACACCAGCCCTCTATCAGTCCTGAGGCAGTCAACTTCGAGGAGAACGGGCAGGCCTCCCAGCAGATCCCTGCAGAGAAAAACAGGCAGCTGGATCTCCAGTCATGGGAAACTGGGGCAGCACCCCAATTTCGCGCAGCAGAAGCAGGAGGTGGAGGGCTCCTCAGAGACAAGTCCAACCCACAGAAGCTCCCAACGTGGCACAGGCAGACGCGGTGGAGACTGGCCAGGGCATGGAGAGGACAGATGAGGAGGGACGTCAAGCAAACTGGCTGCAGCAAGCCCTCTTCAGTAGGCTCTGAGTGCAGGCTGCCAGCCAGGCAGGCAGCCCACCCCCAAGCTCACATAAACACAAAGGCCCAGGGCTCAGAGGGTTCATCCAGAAAGGGGCCACTGATCACAAATCTGCACTTGCGGGAACAACTCATAGCCTCAACCACCACCCTAAAAGCCTGTTTGTGTCAATTCTCACACCCCTTGATCTTGTCACTTTGTGCTACATTTTTATCACTTGAAGGAATCTACACAATGACACTAAATAAGAAGTTTTGCTAAATTCATCCAGTAGAGGAAATATGAAGGGAAGTCAGAGGTGCAGGGAAAATGACATATCAAGGTGAGGTCTGGGGATGGCCTGACCCTGACATCGCTCCTGCTGCCCCAGGAAAAATTCCTGGGTCAGTGAGGGGCAGACAAGGCAGATAGAAGGTGATGCTAAGACAGCTTCCTGGNGGTGAGGTCTGGGGATGGCCCGACCCTGACATCGCTCCTGCTGCCCCAGGAAAAATTCCTGGGTCAGTGAGGGGCAGACAAGGCAGATAGAAGGTGATGCTAAGACAGCTTCCTGGGAAACCACTGGCATCCAAGGGATGGAAGATGGAAAAGAGAGATGAGAACAGGTTGAGGAGATACATTAAGAGGCAGAGAAGAGATACAGCCTGAAAGACATGCCAGCCAAGGGGTTCTACTGTCCCTGAACACCCCGGTTCTCGTGTTTCTGTGGACAGATGCTGAGCCATAGTGGGTGTAGGTTTGTGCAACATACACTGTTCAAGGACCTCAAGCAGATGTGACAAGTCTGATCGGCCCACCATCCCCACCCAGGCACATTGAACATTCCTTTCCCTTGACAGTCACCTCAAATTTCACCTTAACTGCTGTGCCCTGCATGGGTGTGGGTCTGTGGGCCTGGGCGTGCATGACTAGTGGAGCAGCCCCATCACGAAGCAGGTCTGCACAGCCCAAGCCTCCTGAAGATGACGGCCACAGCCTCTGGAGATCTCGGCAAATCTGATGAGACTTGGGCCAACAAAAAGAACTTTATGGAGTCAGGATACACTGGGGTTAACTTACCCCCAATACAGATCTCTACAGTGAAATGTTTACAGCCTGGAAACATGAACACCCAGAGGAAAAGGGAACACAAACATTCTGCGGCAGACCACTGTCGTCAGCAACCCCAGGTGGGCATCTCGAGTTCACAGTCCACATATTCACCTAGGAGAAGACGCAGGGCTGGGGGTGTCTTGAAGGATGGCAAGGGGTCCAGAAGGAGGCAGAGGGAGGAGCTGCTTCAGGCCAGGGATGGTTAACAGCTTCCTCCGCCTGCTGCCTGGGCAAGCAGCACTTCACTGCACAGGAAGAGAGGGGAACGAGTGAGCTCGTTTCTATCCTAGAAGCCAGATGACTGTAGAATCCAGCCCCACCAGACCCTCGTGTCTCTTCACCCACAGTCAGCACCCACTTGGCGCTGAGTAACCACTATTACCAGAGGTAAAACGGCACTTCTCGGCTCAGAGGAGGGAAGGACAGCGGCTACCAGTTCCAGGATCAGACTCAAGGGTTGCAAAGAGCCCTGAATCCCAGTTTTAGGCAAGGCTTTAGGGCAGAGTAAGGAGGACATTCAGGATGAGGGCATGGCAACCACCACCGTCCCCAGGATCCCTGCCTCTTCTGACCTCATGGCCAGCTACTACCCGTAGAGCCCAAGGACAGGGTAGGGGCCCAGTACTTCAATATCAGAATGCAAGCACTCCCTCTTTGCAAATGTGGGGGGAAGCCAGAATCTCCTGGATTACTCATTCCTGAAATTCAGCCCTAAATGGAAGCCAGGCAGTGCTGGTCCAAAGGTTTCTCTCTTGATAAGCTACCCTCTTGCCAATTCTCGAATCTGCATTCCCCTCTGCCCTCCCCTGACCACCAGGACTGGGTGCCCACCTGGAGCAGCATACTGAGACCCAGGTTGCGGTGCCTCCTCTCCAGCTCCGACACAGCCTGCAGCAGAGACCTGAACCTCTCCGCTGGGTCCTCGTCCTCATCCTCCGGAGACCCTTCTTCTTTCTCTGCTTCCTGTAGGAATCGCCCCTCCTCCTCGGCAAAGAAGGCCCGAAGCTTCCTGTAGTCAGTCAGTGCCTTCTTCCTCCGGTCCATCACATGTCCCTACAGGATGGGCGGGCAGCAGGAATACCCGCGTCCTCAAGCTACCCCGAGAGCCCACCCATCCACCACTGACACCTCCAGGGAGGAGCGGTCCCTGACCGTCTGACTGTACAGTGATCAGCGGTGGTCCAAGGCCCTGCCCAACAGGGTCAGCGTGCACATCCCTGTTTCCTCGTTCACGCGGACTCGAACCGCACCCCACTTGCCTTCCACACAGCAGCAGCGGACTCAGCCTGGCCATGCAGATCCCGAGCATCATTCAGATCTTTCTTCATGATCTCCACAGACCCCTTGTTCTCCTGGAGAAAGATGCTGGTTATGGGGTGTGTGGTCACTTCTGAAAGTCTGGGGCCCACCTAAGCCCAGTCCAGAGGGCCATCACACTACTAGAATTCTGTCAGGCAGTCCAGAGGCCCAGGTTCATGATCTAAGCCCATCAGACACCTCAAAACTCTGCAGGCTGCAGAAAGGGTCTTGGTGACCCACTATGCTGTCTATAGTCTGATAGAAATCTCTGTGCTAAGAATCCAACAGAGTNAGTCCAGAGGGCCATCACACTACTAGAATTCTGTCAGGCAGTCCAGAGGCCCAGGTTCATGATCTAAGCCCATCAGACACCTCAAAACTCTGCAGGCTGCAGAAAGGGTCTTGGTGACCCACTATGCTGTCTATAGTCTGATAGAAATCTCTGTGCTAAGAATCCAACAGAGTTACTACACAAGACTATTCATTGAAGACTCTCGTGTTACTGTCTCCAGCAGAGGGACGGAGGGTGGCCCCCTTTAGGGTGACCATGGGCACACACAGGGCCTGCCCAGCTCCATGCACTGACTGGGTGGGTGGGGTCCTTCACCAGGAAGAGTCCAACTCCAGTCCCCTGGCCACATGCTCTAACCCCAAGGAAGCCCCTGGATGCAACATCCCACTGCTTAAGGAGAAGACCCCAGGACCCAATCCCTGACGCATGAACCCTCAAACAGGCTACTCTCTCCCCTCAGGTTGGTAGGGACCACACTGACTCTTTCCACTGCAGGGGCCTGGCTGTCTTTATTCTCTCAGAAATAACTAGAGAGGAGGAGAAAGTGCCCCGTCCAGGCGTGGGAAAGGGGGACAGGGTCCCGTCCTGGGAGGGGAGAAAGGGTACTGGGCACCAGAGGAAGGAAAGGGGACAGGTCACTATCTGGGGTATGGGGAGGGCAGCTGGCACATCGTCCAGAGGATGGAGACTGGGGGCCAGGGCGCCATCCAGAGGATGCGGAGGGGGGACAGGGCGCAGTCTGGTGATGAAAAGAGGAACAGGGCACCCTCCGGGGAAGGGCACCTTGCCGCGCAGCGCCTTCCTCCAACGGGGCTCCCACTCGGGTGGCTCGGGCCCCGCGGCCATGCGGCAAGCTGCGCACAGCGGGCCCCCGTCGGCGCGGCATAGCAGCTGCAGCGCCGCCTCCGAGGCCGGGCCGTCGCGCGTGGGCGCCGCAGCTGCCTCCTCGAGCGCCAGCAGGCGGCGGCTGAGCGGCGGGCGGCCGGGCTCCACGGCGCGCTGCCAGCAGTCGTCGGCGCACTCGGGACACGGGAAGGGCCCGTCTTCCTCCGCCCAGAATCGCACCACGCACGCCCGGCAAAAGCGATGGCCGCAGTCGGCGCGCACCGGGTCGCGGGGCGCACTCTGGCACAGGGCGCAGGCGGCCTCGCCGGGGCCCGCGGGGAGCGCCAGGGCGGCAGCGGCGGGGCCCTAGAGGGCTCAGACAGGGATGCGAACAGGGGCGTACTGGTGGCTGGGAGAGCCGGGGACCCGGACGCACTAAAAGCGCTGCCGGAGAGCCAGGGACAGGAATGCGTTGATAGAGGTGGAGCGCAGGGACAGAAGACAAGAAATGGCGACTGGAATGGCTGGGCGCCCGGCGCAGGGTCCTGGCAGGGGTGTTCTCCACGCGAGGTCCCGGCAGCGGTGTACCACAGCCTCCCGGGTCTTGGCAGAGGCCGCGCCACTCTGCCAAGGTCCTGGCAGCGGTGTACCGTCAGTCCAGCTCAGCTAGCTCAGCTAGCAGAGATGCACTTCGCACCGATCCACGTCCTGAAATCTTACAGAGGTTTCACTTCTCCCATGAATGACTCTTATGCGAAAAGGAAGCAGTTTCATTTGAAAACTCCGTTACAAAACGTTTTTTGTAAGCTGCTAGGACCTGATCTGCAAGCACCTCCTTGCAGCGCAATGCTAACGCGGGGTGGGGACTGGGCTGGAAAACCGCAGCGTGGGACCTCTTGCGTGCAACCCCTCGCGTCAAATCGTTCTGTACGCACCGAGCTGCGTGGGCTTTTCCCGTGTGCGCAGGTTAGACGTGAGCTCTCAGGGGAGGACGTCCTGTGAGGGCAATCCTGAAAGAATCCAGGAACAGCCCGCGAAGGAATGATCTTCCAGGGACACGCAGATACTCACAAAAGCAAAGTTTTGTTTCGAAGAGAAGTATAGAGCTCCCAGCATAGTCACTGAGAGGGGGGAAAGCGTTCCCCAAAACCGCGGGAATCAACAGTTTATATCTTTAATGTTGACCCACCTATTTGTTTTTGGTTGGTTTAGGATACCAGTGTACATAATCCCTGGTCTAAAAATCGTATCAGTTTGTCAATTTTTATGACCCTTTTCCCCTGATCTCCCAGTTCTGAATTTTCTTATGATATTGAGTCCATCCTCTCACCTTTTCTCGTGACCTCTCACCTCACCTTTTCTGATGACCTCAGGCCATTATCTAAGGGCCACCTGGTGTTTTTCTCCGTGATCACTTGCTAATTGTCCTGTCACAGGTTCTGGTGTTTTATGGCCTTCAGGTCGAGGGAGCTTAGAGGCATTCCCTTTAAATGTCAACAAACTGGAACAGCAAACACTTATGTAAAAAATAAGTGGAGATTGGAATTCGATTTTTAAAAGAAGAAATCGAGTCCTTTTTTTCTTTTTTTTCCTTTTGGCCCTACACTACACTGACTGCCTCATATTTTTCTACCTCAACCCCACCTTAGCAGCTTGGAACCCAGGCCTTCAGTCCACTGTCCCTGAGCCACAGGAACGGCAAATTCAGCCTCGAGAAAACTCATTAATGCAGACTGAAGACATCTGATAAGACCCAAAGCTACCAGTATACTGGTCCATACCAGGAAATTTGTTAGCATTTCTTTAGAAAAGACAAAAAAATGGTTTGGGGAGGAGCAGTCTAATAGGGTGAGGTTTATTTGGATTTTTGTTTTTTGGTTGTTTTTAAACAAGCTAGCACGTGGTTTAAAAAATGTAGTCTTCAAATTTTTAAAAAGTGAATCTTTCAGTCCATATACATGCAGTCTTCCTAGGTATTGTGTTTTGGTTTTGTGTGTGTGTGTGTTTTTAACCTGATGTTCACTTACGAAAAATGCATAATGTAAAAGTTAAGTTTTATTCAGGGAGCTTACTGATGCCTATAGCCAGGAAATGGGACTTCCCAGGTGGCTTTAGTGGTAAAGAACCCCCGTGCCAATGAAGGAAACTTAAGAGATGCTGGTTTGATCCCTGGGCGGGGAAGATCCCCTGGAGGAGGACACAGCAACCCACTCCAGTTTCTTTTCTGAAGACTCCAATGGAAGGAGAAGCCTGGTGGGCTAAGGCCCATAGGGTCGCAGAGTTGGACATGACTGAAGCAAATAAGCATGCAAGCACTCACACATATGTAGCCAGGAGATAGCTGTTGACTGAAGAAAATGCACAACCTAAAAGTTGAGAGTTAATATTCTATTTGGCAGACTTGCTCCAGGAAGAGAGACTCTCAGAACCCAGGTATATAGGAGTTTTTGCAACAAAAAACAGATAGTTGGACTATCAAAATATTGCTGTTGATTAAAGAAAACCAGGCATCTTAATAGATTTAGTGCTTTTTTTAATGGATGGGAAGATGTAACCATCGGGGCTTATTGGAATCATTCCTTTGATAGGGACCTTAACTATCTAAAGGGCTAGTATCCTGTTCTTCCTAAATCCCCTCAGGATTGGCCAGTCACCATGCCACAACACCCTTTGTTTACTGATAAGGCAAGCCTGTCTTCATCCACACAGCCTCTCCTTACCTCTGAAGGAGGAGGAGGAAAGGAGGAATGTGTGTGTGTGTGTGTGTGTGTGTTAGTCGCTCAGTTGTGTCCGACTCTTTGTGACCCCATGGACTGTACCCTGCCAGGCTTCTCTGTCCATGGGATTTTCCAGGGAAGAATACTGAAGTGGGTTGCCATTTCCTTCTCCAGGGGATCTTCCCAACCCAGAGATCGAAGCTGGGTCTCCTGCACTGCAGGCAGATTCTTTACCATCTGAGCTACCAGGGAAGTCTGAGGGGCTGCTCCAAAGAGACAGGGAATGAGCCAATGTATAGAAGAATTGTTTTGATTGGTAAATACAGTCAGGCATACATCTTGGTAAAAGAGTACTGTTAATCACAACAGATATCTCAAGTTGCTGACTTTAGTGCTCTTCTATCTATGGGAAGATGCAAGAATATGGAGTCACTGAAACTATTCCTTACACATGTAACGTGTAACATGATAGTTACACATTTTAACTATCTAGGGGCTTGGTAAATCCAAAGTGCAGAGTGTTTCATCAGTTTTCCTGTCCTGAATTCTCCTCCGGACACTGTCAATGGGCAACTGCAGTGGGTTGCAACTTGCCCCTTTCCATAAGAGAATAATGAGTGACCCTCTTTATTCTCTTTATGTACACTGGTATAGACTTGAAAATGCACTAAATGGGCAGTCAGAAGTGTGGCTAGAAAACTGAGGTTAGTTCTGTGGATTGAGGATCAGAAGGAGAAACGCACTTGAAGAAGAGCCTAGCTGGTTTGTTGGGTAAACTAGGAACATAATGGAGAGAAAAGAGGAAAGAAAAGAAATCAATGAGCAAAGTCCATAATCCTGTGAGTGTGAAAAATAGTCAGGTACAGTCATTAAAAGAAAACAGCCAAACTAGGAAACTGCCAGCCAAAATATACAGAGTTCATAAAATTGGAACAGAAAATTTCAGTGGAAAAATACCACTGGAATTTGTCAGTTAGTTCACAAAAATATAAATAAAAGCAAATGCCAAATAGAAAAATTATACACTCTACCCAGTTACTAAGAAATAAAAATATAAATTGAGATTTTTTCCCCACTATTAAGTTGGGAGACCTTGTTAGTGAACCAAACTTGGCTCCACTCATCTGTCTCACAGCAAAGCCAAGCTTTTGTGTGGTGAAAAAAAGTATATTGTTTATTAGAAGGGCTCCAAGCAACGGGGGCTTCCCTTGTAGCTCAGCTGGTAAAGAATCCACTTGTGATGCAGCAGACCCCAGTTCAATTCTTGGGCGAGTAAGATCTGATGGAGAAGGTATAGGCTACCCACTCCAGTATTCTTGGGCTTTCCTGGTAGCTCAGCTGGTAAAGAATCCACCTGCAGTGCTGGAGATCTGGGTTCAATCCCTGGGTTGGGAAGATCCCCTGGAGAAGGGAAAGGCTACCCATTCCAGTATTCTGACCTGGACCAAATAGTGCATGACATCGCAGAGAGTCGGACATGACTGAGCAACTTTCACTTCACAAGCAAGGAGAATGGGCAGCACGTGTTCTAAAATCCCAGACTCCCAGTGGTTTTAGGGCAAGGTTGTTTTGGGTTTTGTTGTTTATTGTTTTAATGTTTGTTTATTTTTAATTGGAAGATAATTGCTTTACAGGGTTGTGTTGGTTTCCACTATACAACAACGTGGATCAGCTGTAAGTGTACATACATCCCCCACTTGTTAGCCTCCCTCCCATTCCCCTAGGGAAAGATTTTTAAAGACAGCATTTGGGGTAAGCAGTAAGCAGTAAATTCTGATGAACTTTCTTCTGATTGGCTGATGGTGAGATAACATCAAGGTTATGTTTCAAGAATCCTTCCCATTAACCTGGTTCCAGCCAATCTTGGTTCTACCTACTATGGTCATCATGCAGCCACCCCCTCCACCTGGGAGTAATTTCTGCAGGACAACTCAAAGATACACATCAGATTATTATATCCCTTGAGAAGGAACAAAGACTCTGTTCTATTGTTGAGCTATTTTTCAAGCTATCTTGCTTTTCCTTTTTAAAAAAATTGTATTTGTTTAATGGCTGTGCTGAGTCTTTGTTGTTACGCATGGGCTTTCTCTAGTTGCGGTGAGCTAGCTTCTCTCGTGGCAGAGCAGAGGCTTTAGGGCCTAAGGGCTTCAGTAGCTGTGGCACATGGGCTTAGTTGCCCCAAGGCATGAGGAGTCTTCCAAGACCAGGGATCAAATCCACGTTCCCTGCGTTGGCAGGTAGATTCATAACCATTGGACCACCAGGGAAGTCCATGCTTTTTCTTCATTTCTGCACTCCATCACGTTAAATCCTGCCCCAAGGCCACAGAAGGGAAGCCCAGAACCAAGTTCACCTCAGAAGCTGACTGAGCCCCTTTGCAACCATTGTCAAAAGCCTGCCTGATCGTCACGATCAGGCTTCCTGACCCCAAATTAGGCAAAAATGCCCAGCCCGGTAGTCACCTTATAGCACCCTAACCAATTACTTAATGCCAACCTTCCAGCAGGAATTTTGTTGTGAGGCTATAAAAATTGGCTACTCACACAGGAAAACTGTCAGCTCTCCCTGGTCTGTCAAGGTCGGCCCACTGTGGTCACAGTACCCACATTACCTCTGCTCTTTGTTCTTAATGAACTGAATGAAATGAACTTAATAAAATAAATGAAATCCCTTCTGAAATGCTCTGTCTGGGAATTCTTTTCCAACCAGCGCTTGGACTTCCTCAATACATCACTTCCCTAATTAAAGCCTGAGTCTGCTCTTCAGAACTCAGAGAAGACCTAGGATACTAAAGCCTTTTTCTACAAACAAGAAACGGGGGACATGGAGGGGCCTCCCACTGGGTTTCAATCAAAAGAAAACTCTGATTTTGCAGATATTGCTTCTGGGAGACAATGTAGCAATGTGTTTTAAGAATCTTTGATTTTTCATAACCTTTGGAATACCTTTTCTCAAAATATATTCTATAAAAATAACCTCAAATGGAAATAAATCCTCCTATCATTTGGTTTGATTTGGAGAAATGATTGTCATGTCAATATTTGGGAGGGATGGAATCTTGAAGTGCCACAATGGGGAATGACTCAGCAAATTGTACTAGCCATCAATTTGAAAAGGTATGAAAGAGTTTTGGGAATGAGGAATGGCAAACAGTATTATAATCCATCTATGATCTGCTCCCAGTTTCAATGTGTGGATTTTTCCCCACAGCAGGCAATTCTCTGTGTTTACAATTTAACATAATTTTGACAGTATCTGGAGATAGCATCACCAGATCAGTTCAGTTCAGTCATTCAGTCGTGTCCAACTCTTTGACACCCCATGGACTGCAGCATACCAGGCTTCCTTGTCCTTCACCATCTCCCAGAGTTTGCTCAGACTCATGTCTATTGAGTCGATGATGCCATCCAACCATCTCATCCTCTGCTACCACCTTCTCCTCCTGCCTTCAATCTTTCCCACCATCAAGGTCTTTTCCAAGGAGTCTGTTCTTCACATCAGGGTCCAAAGTACTGGAGTTTCAGCTTCAGCATCAGTCCTTCCAATTCAGGGTTGATTTCCTTTAGGATTGACAGGTTTGATCTCCTTGCTGTCCAAGGAACTGTCAAGAGTCCTCTCCAGCACCACAGTTCAAAAGCATCAATTCTTCAGTCCTCAGCCTTCTTTATGGTCCATCATCTCTCAAATCTTTTGACTATATAGACCTTTGTCAGCAAAGTGATGTCTGCTTTTTAAATGTGCTGTCTAGGTTTGTCATAGCTTTTCTTCCAAGGAGCAAGCGTCTTTTAATTTCATGGCTGCGGTCACCATCTGCAGTGATTTTGGAGCCCAAGAAAATAAAGTCTGTCACTGTTTCCATTGTTTCCCCATCTATTTGCCACGAATCTTAGTTTTTTCACGTTGAGTTTTAAGTCAGCTTTTTCACTCTCCTCTTTCATCAAGAGGCTCTTTAGTTCCTCTTCCCTTTCTGCCATCAGGGTAGTGTATCTGCATATCTGAGGTTATTGATATTTCTCCTGGCAATCTTGATTGCAGCTTGTGCTTCATCCAGCCCGGCACTTCGCATGATGTACTCTGCATATAAGTTAAATAAGCAGGGTGAGAATATACATCCTTGACGTACTCCTTTCCCAATTTGGAACCAGTCCATCATTTCATGTCCTAGTCTAGCTGTTGCTTCTTGACCTGCATACGGATTTCTCAGGAGATTTGGTATTCCCATCTCTTTAAGAATTTTCCACAGTTTGTTGTGATCCGCACAGAAATAACTACATGTCAAAATGTGTGGGACCCAATAAGCCATACTTAAAGGAAATGTTTCTTTAAACTTATTTCTGGGTGTGGGGATGGGGGAGAAAGAACTAACCAGAGAAGAACTAATCATTTGTTATGGGTTGAATTGAGTCCAGCAAAAAAGATAAAAGAAGTGTTGAAGTTTGCTAACCTGAAACAAGCGTGAATTTATTTGGGATCAGCAGAGAATTGCAACTTGGGGTCTGCAAGCGTGGCGAGCCACATTCATATTTCCATAGGGCAAAGGAACAACACTTTTATGAAGAGAAAAAGTTGGGAGGGCTCCAGTAAACAGAGTCCATGTCTTCACTGGCTGAGCCCTTGCCTAAAAAGAGGAGCATTCTTCTTCCTATCGGGCTCTGTTACGCCTGCAGCACAGGGAAGCTCCCCCTTCTGGTCTCCAAACTCTACTTGGGAATCGCAGCAGGACTCCGCAAGGCCCTCCCTGCAGACAGACTCCTAGGCTTCCACCGAGTTCCAAACAACAAACTTAATCAGAGAAATGAGAACATGCAAAAACAAAGGAAAACAGTCAAACAAGACAAAATAGTTTAGCCATAAAACAAAGTCAAGAACCTTCAGTTCCTTCCCAAGACCAGGTTGTCTATGCTTCTGACTCACTGACTATATATAGATCAGAGGTTTCCATACCCTCCTCCTTAGTTCCATTAATTTGCCGGAGTGGCTCACAGAACACAGAACACATCACCAGTTTATTATAAAAGCATGTAACCTGGAAACAACCAAGTGAAAGAGCTGCATAGGGCAAGATAAGGGGAAAGCGTTCAGAGCTTTCATGCTCTCTCTGGGCACACCACTCTCTCCAAACCTCTAGACGTTCACTGACCTGAAATCTCTCCAAACCCCATCCTTTTGAGCTTTTATGGAAGCTTCATTACATAGCCATGATTGATTAAATCATTGGCCACTGATAATGGATTCAACCTCTAGCCCCTGTCCCCTCCCAGGAGGTCAGGATGGCATTAAAATTTCCAACCCTGTCTCACTAAGTTGGTGCCCCTGGCGACTGCCCCCATCCTCAAGGACTTTCCAAAACTCACCTTACTAACACAGTCTGGTGTCATCAGCAGAGGTCTGTTTTGAATATCAAGACACTTTTATGTTCTCATCACTTAGGAAATCCCAAGAGTTTTTGGAGCTCTGTGCCAGGAATAGGGAGGAAGACTAAATATATATTTATTATATATCACAATATCACATCTTCAAAATATTTCCAGTACTTCATTAGACGTTTTTAAAAAGTGCACTGGAAAGCAGGCAAGCAAGAAAAATGGGCAGAGGGAAGATATTTGTGAATATACATATTTACACATTTATATATACATATACATATATCTGTAAATAAACAAGAGGTGGTGCTTACTCGAATCGATGATAGTAATGAGCCCTGAGCTGTGAAGTGTCATTAGCAACTCATTGTATGAACAGCAGAATATAAATAATAACTGAATATTGTACTATATACGTAAAATCTATTAAGAGTAAGCTCATGTGTTTTTTACCAAAATAAATAAAATTTCAAATTTCTTCCTGGATTTTTTTAATTACTCAAACCTATTCTTCCTTAAATAAGTCAAATGAATGACTACTGCCTTATCCCACAGAGCTCTTAAATCTAGAATAAAAAATAAATGGGCCAGTTTGCATCAGCTCAAGTAAATACTAGTATAATACTTTAATAAAGTGGCAATTAATAAAGTAAATTTTCTAGGAAATGAAATCCATTTCATCTTGATGTGTCAGGACCAAAAGTGACAAAGTAATTTGAACCACAGGACTGAAAATGGAGGTGGCATATTCCTTGGCCTCTCATCTCAGCCCACTTGGATTGTTATAATACCATAGACTGGGTGGATTAAAAGCACCAGACATTTATTTTTCATAATTCTGGAGGCCCATAGGACTTGCTTGGTGTTCCAGCATAGGACTCTGGGAAGAACGCTGGACCAGCACCTAAGGGTGTTATACAATACCAAAGGAAGGCGAGCCTGGGGTCTCGGCTCACCTCGAAGGAGTCTCCTGGTGGCGAGCTCTTTGCCCTGTCCAGACCCGTGACTGACGATTTCCAAGCCCAACCCATCATCTCACTCCGCTCCCCGCCCCCCAACTCCTCTTCCTAAAGGTGTGGGGGGAACTCAGACGCTCCCAAAATTCTGGACGCCACGCCCTTGCCAAGACAACGAAAGAAAAACCGAGGGCACTCAGAAAAGCCACTTGCCAACGCGGGTGTGCTGAGAACAGCTGTGGCGTGGCCAGCCTCTCCGTCTCGGGACGGCTCCACGCGGAGGCGCCTCGAGGTGAAGGTCGGCGCCCCGCAGAGTCGCTCCAGGCTGGCCTGGCGCTGGGATCCAGCGCGAAGGGGCTCCCTGGACACAGAGAGAAGCGCGCAGAAGGGCAGCCGGGCTCGGAGTCTGCAGCAGTGCAACGAGGCAGGATAGACGGGCCCGCGGACAAAGGACTGCAAGGGCGCTGCAGAGTGGAGCTCCACGGCGCAGGGGTGCCGCAGTGCCAGGACGCAAGCGGGTGGCAAGCGGCGCGGGCTGCGGACAGGCGCAGGTGGAGTGGAGGCTGGGACCGGGTGGGGGAACTTTCCCTGCCGTGTCTGCCTCCCAGTACAGCCGGGGCAGGAGCCAAGTGAGCAGCCGCCTCCGCTATTTCCCCAAAAGGGCCCATGTGGATCGGTTCAAACTCAACCTCACGACAAGGGCTTCCTTGGTGTTTCAGCTGGTGAAGAATCCGTCCGCAATGCGGGAGACCTGGGTTCGATCCCTGGGTTGGGAAATTTCCCCTGGAGAAAGGAAAGGCTACCCACTCCGGTAATCTGGCCTAGAGAATTCCATGGACTCTATAATCCATGGGATCGCCAAGAGTCGGACACTACTGAGCGACTTTCACTCTGACTCACCACAAACGTATTGGCTAAGGCGCCTCTTTGAGCTTTCCAGTGCTTTCCCTTATTCCAGCACTTCTGCAGCGTCCTTCAATTTAGTGTCTGAGTTTAGAATTTCTTCTATTTTATGCACATTTGTGCCTTAATGTTTTCACCAGTATCTTTGGACATTATCCCGATTTCCTGACGCGCTGTTAACACGGGAATGCTGCTGCTTTGGGGAGGAAGGGGGTTAGTTCAGGAGGGTTTTGGACAAAACCACCATGGTGAGGCTGGGTGTCCACTGCGTATACCAAGGGTGAGGCTGTCTGCCCCCAGTCACCTTTCCTTAACCTCCACTCCGCCCATCTCCCAGAACCCTTCTTAAACCCCTCAGCCCCCAACTTTCCTTCCCGAAAAACCCATCACTCTCATCCCTTCTGCCTGGCTCCTGGCCTCCTCCGGACACGTCTCCCCCCACAGCCCTCAGCACCCCACTCTTCAGCCCTCCTCGCCTACCCCCAGCTCTCCCTTCCCAGACTACATCTCCTGAAAATACCAACAATGTAAAGTATATCAATAAAATATAGAAAATTATTGCCATGAAATCTCAACTCTTGTGTTTCCTATGTTTTCTTAATACTGCTGGAAGCTGCTGGATTCAGTTTCAACACACCTTACGACCTTGAAATTAACGTAGTTAGATAGGAGGTAGGAGAAAAACATGGTGTATATATGGGGGAGGGGGTGGCGTTCCCCTGGAAGAACAATCAGAACCGTCCTTGAACCGCAGCTTTGCACAGGTTGTGGGGAGGGGGACTGGGTGCTTTCGATCCCACTGACCCCAGCCTTGCCTCTGACGCCTTCTGCACCCCCACGGTCCACCCGGGTGTGACTGTCTCAGCTCAGAAGTCCGTGGGCGAGCATGTCCTGCCTCTGTGTGTCTGCATGGGCGCTGAAGTGGAAATAAGTCCACAAGCTGTCCAACCGTTGCTGCTTCAGATTCCATTTCTCGGTCCTCTCACTTCTGCAGCTGTGATTTCCGTCCTTCACTCACACCTGGCTCTGGGATTAGACTGCAGCCCTACTCTTCAAATTTGCTGAAATAAAATGGGCACAGAAGTCGCTTGGCCAACACGGGTGTTTGGAAAAGACTTCAGGAAGCGACCCCAGTCATCTTGCAAACAATGCGGGCCAGCAGCTCTGCCTATCTCACGTCCTAGGCGGGCGGGCAGTTTGATGGGCCCCGGATGCCAGCACTGCAGTGGGAAAGGCACGGGAGACTGAGACCCCCAACTCCGTGCCACGCGGGGCATCCCTCGGTTGTAGCAGGATGGTTTTTGTCTGCGGGAAGCCGAGCGGCAGGACAAAGGCTGTCTAAGCCATCTTTTACTTCTTCGCAATCCCGCAAGCATTGCGTGAAGTTTACCATCTCTGTGCAAAGCTCCACAGCACACCCTGGGATTTCCACCACCTCCTTTCCTGCAGCAACTGTAAAGAATTAAAACTTTTCTTCAGATAACCTTTGTGCTGTCTTTTCTTTACCTGCAGGATGCTATCTCTGCAGAATCTGCCTCCCTCCCCACAGGCTCTGTGTTAGCAGCAAGTAACTAGCGATCTGGAGAGAAGCAACATTCTATTGAGGGAGGAGGAGAAAACAAAAACAGTGTTTGTCATTGCATTGTTTGAATTGTATGAAATGCTTGTGACAATTTTAAAATGATTTGGCTTCTTCTCGTGTGAGGAGACAGCTTACTGCACATTCACCTAGGAGGAAAGGATGGTTTCATTCACGCATCACAAAATCCGGGATGATAAAACTGTGCTCATTTCAAGCATGCAACCTTTTATTCAATATATTTATGCAATCTAGACACTGTACTCTAGAAATTATAAGTGGGAGGTGTTTATTTGGGAGGAGGTGTTCTTTGAGGGGAGAGGTTAAAAATTATCCAAACCCCCTTTTAAACTACTTTTACAGGCTATTCCCAAGCATTGTCTGTCCCTGGTGGTTAAGCTGGAGACGCTGTTTCTTTGCTTTTCTTTCTTTGCCTTTCTCTCCCCTCTCTGTCTCTTTCCTCCCTTCAGTCATTTTTTCACTCTTTTTCAAACAATTCATGAGCTTTTGTTTTGTTTCTTTGGCTGTGCTGGGTCTCTAGCTGCCACGGGCGGGGGAGCCACCCTTCAGTTGCAGTGGGCGGGGGAGCCACCCTTCAGTTGCAGCGGGCGGGGGAGCCACCCTTCAGTTGCAGTGGGCGGGGGAGCCACCCTTCAGTTGCA